CCCCATTCATGCAAACCTCTGCAGGTGTGTATGTTAACAACACCCCGAAATCAGTTCGCAAAACACGGTGTGATGTGCAGAATTGGATCACATGTGTGAATACCCATGCAATTCGATTCTAGTGCGGACCAAAAAAAGGGTCCTGCACCTTTTTGGTGCAGGTGCAGTGCGATTTGACCCATACATAATGTATGGCTAAAATTGCACCGCACACAATTCACATGCGATTTGCACAGGAATGCGGTGTGGTTCCTGTGCGAATTACATGTGATGTACCAAACCACATATATGTGAACTCGGGCTGAAGCTCCGGAAGATTTTACCCCCTTCAAGACTAGGCCATTTTTGATATTTAGCACTGCACTACTTTACCTGGCAATTGCGTAGTCGCAAAAATACAGCTTTTTTTTTGTTATATATTGGATCACAAAAATACAGCTTTTTTTTGTTGGTATTGGATCACCGCTGTTTTTTTTTTATTTTTTGCAATATAAGTGAAAAAAACCTGAAAATATTGAATACAAATATTTTTTTCTTTCTGCTACAAAGCATATCAAATAAAAAAAAATAAAATGTCTTCATAAATTAGGGCCAAAATGTATTCTGGTATGTCTTTGATAAAACCCCCCCCCCCTGTAAGTGCATATTGATTGGTTTGCATGAAAGTTATAGCACCTATAATCTATGGTGTATATACTGGAATTTTTTGTTTATATTACTAATGGCAGTGAATCAGTGACTTATAATGAGACTTAATAATTTCTTTTTTAATTATCTTTATTTAAAGTATGTAATCCTATTTTTTACACCTCTTTGCATTAACAGCTGTGAACTTGATTTCAACTCCTGTTGATGTTTATACTGTAAATGTGCCTTGGTAGACAAGTGGTTAACCACCCCTCATTTTCTTTCAGGACGCTAGTGTCAATGATCCCAAACAGATCTTGGAGCCAGTAATGGCATGGAGTTTATTGTTCCCTCAGCATGGGGCATCATGCTGAGAAACATTCATCTACAAATTGTAGACATGAACCAAGTAAACAAGGTGTGGTGTTGAATTACAACTAACATTCTAATTCAGATTTCCCCTTTGTCTTCAAGGGCAGGTGAATAGGCAGGGGTCTATCAATAGGCCAGGAGTTGTCTCCATAGGGGTCATAAAACTTTGGTATGCTAATTTGGCCAACCGATTGTCCAAAAAAACATATGATTGTGCACTTTGGACCAATCAGAGGTTCATCAATGACAGCGAATGGAAAGACTTAGGATAAGAACAGGAGACAGAGGCATATAGGGGAAACCTAGAAGGAACAGATCTATCAGGAACACTTGAAGGTAAGGAACAGAAGGGGAATCACAGAGCAAGACCAAGCATTGTTCACCCCCCCTGGAATTGGTAATATTTGATATGCTTGTTAGCTAGTAATCTATACAGTTTATGGCAGTTTGAATCCATTAATCTTAGGTTCTATAGGTATTTGTCCTTTTTGGTGCAGGAGCCTTATTATTTGATAGTATCAGGTGTTGCTGCTAATCTTTGTATGTGATCTATATGCCTTTCAGGATTTTGTCATTTTTGTGTAATATTTTATCAGTAAATAAGTTACTCACGATTAATTTGCACAATATACCATTTTTCACTTACAGTGTCTGTGCTTCACTGCTGACCGTACCGAACGGAGAGAAATGGATGTTGATTTATAATATGAATATTTTGTATTAAGGTCCATATTATTATTTGTTTAACCACTTGTCTACCAGGGCAATATTTTCATTTTTTGCACATATTAAATCTTCATTTTTTTGTAACCACCCCAAATGTATATATTTTCTGAAAGTAGAGACCCTGTAAAATAAAATGGAGGTAGCTGCAATTTTTTATGTCGCACAGTATTTGTGCAGTTATTTATCAAATGCATCTTTTAAAAAAAAAATACATTAAAATGAATTTTAGTACAAACACACAAAATATTACCTAATGTACCGTATTGGTAAAATATAGGCTGCATTGAGTAAAAGATACCAAACATGCCAAGTCTTAAAATTGAGCATACCCATGGAATCGTAAAATCTATGGTACCTAAAAATTCTCCATAGACATCGCTTTACCCACCTTTGCAGGTCATTAGTTTAGAGTTAACTATGATCTATGGCCCTAGAATTATTGCTCTCACTCCAACATTCATTAAGCTACCAAAAACATGGATAGCACAATTCATTTTTTTACATATACAATATGTGCTTGCTCTGTGCTACACTTTTTATATGAGGTGTGTGCAGGGGTGATGGTGCTGTTTTTAATTACCTTTATTTTATGTTTTTTTTTTTTACTGTATTTTCATCACAAGGGGGCTAACAAGCCCCGTGTGATAGAATAAGCAGGTGACAGGTACTCTTTATAAAGACTTTGGAGGTCTATTAGACTCTCAATGTTTCTCCTGCCCTTCAATGCAACTATTCCAGCACAGATCATGCTGGAAAAACTTCATCCTTGGCTATACTAGTCAAGGAATGACCTGTGACCCCAAAGTGATGTAGTACACTTTGCTTCTGGGTCATTAGCCTCAGGAGGAAATGGGGCATGGATATTCCTTGAGTTCCTCCTGCTTACTCTGCGGAAGCTATTTCCCATGGTCCAGGGCTCCCCAATAGATGTGATCGGTTGGCTCTAGAGCCAGGGAATCTCTTGTAGCTAATCACCCCCCAGTTTCTTTCAGGACACTAGCGTCAATGTGCCCAAACAGTGAGATCAGTAATGGCATGCAGATTTATATTCCCTCAGCATGTGAAAAGTGCTGAGAAATGTTTGTCTAAAAATTGTGAATACAAATCAATTAAACAAGGTGTGTTGTTGAATTACAACTAGCATTATTATTCAGATCTCTCCTTTGTTTTCAGTGGCAGGTGAATAGGTGGGGTCTGTCAGAAGGCCAGTATTGTCTCCATGGGGAGTCATATGGCTTTGGTATGCCAAGTTGGCAAACTGATTGTCCAAAGGGCCATGTGGGATGTCAGGAGATAACTTAAATTTATATTTGCAAGTGACATGACTCCGGTTAGAAGGGAGAGATATGATTGTGCACTTTGGACCAATCAGAGATTCCTCAATAGTGAATGAAAGGACTTCGTATAAGAACAGGAGACAGAGGCAGGAAGGAAAAGACATCATGGACACTTGAAGTTAAGGAACAGAGAGGGAACCACAGAGTGACACCAGCCATTGTTTAGCCACCTGGGATTGGTAATATTTGATATGCTTATTAGCTAATAATCTATCCAGTTTATGATGGTTTCAATGTATTGTGTTTGCTTCTACAAGCATTTGTCCTCTATGGCAGTGTTTCTCAACCTTTTTTCAATCAAAGCACCCTTTAAAATTATGAATAATCTCAAGGCACCCCATTCTACAATGTAAAACACTATTTTACACACATAGTACACCCAACGTTAGAGGCGATTTATTCTTCCAAAGCCAAACCTTTGGTACAGACTAGTATTCCAGTGTGTCTTTCTCAGTTTCTCTAATGTGAATGCTGACAGAGAGGACACAGTGGAGGGGGCAAACAAGGATGCTGTGCATGCACCCCAAGTCCTCCTTATCAACTGATGATGTCAGTGGTTGGAATGCCGGAAGCTAGAACGTCATAAAAGTTCACAATGAAAACCTGTGGCTTTGTGTAACTAAAAGGCAGGATTGATCTACCCACTGGCTCGTTTACAATTTTTGGGTAGTTTTTAGGCATTTTGCCAAGGCACCCGAGGAAGCCTGAAGGCACCCCAGGGTTCTTGGGCACCTTGGTTGAAAAAGGCTGCTCTACTGTACAGGGGCTTTATTATTTGATAGTATTGGGTATTACTATTAATGTTTGTATGTGATCTATATGCCAGGATTGTTTTTGTCATTTTTGTGTAATAAATGTATTACCAGTAACTAGGCTGTTCATGTTCAATTCTTTGTACAGTATACAAATTTTAACATACAGTTTGTGATCATTGATGCGTTTCATTGCTGACCTTCCCCACTGAACCTTGAGAAGCGAGTGCTGATTTAGATTATAGATATTATATATTAATGTCCCTAATATTATTTGCCTAATCACATTCCCCCCCCCCCCCCCCTCCATGGGGCATCATGCTAAGAAACAATTATTTACAAATTGTGGACAGGGATCAATTAAACAAGGTGTGGTATGGAATTATAATGAACATTTAAAAGCATAGATTTATTTGCCAGCTTTCAATGCTCTAACAGGCTCTGGATGCCAGCGTTCACCCGATCCAAATGTTGAGCAGGCTAGCTGTGAGCTATAAGCCAACATGGGCAGCACTTTCACTTCTACCTTTTTTTCCTAGTTTTAATTAATTATAACTAAAATTATGTATTTTTAAAATGCTGAACTAGTACACCATACAGGCCGCTGTGGGACACCATTAGACTCGCAGGTACCTTCTTTCAATCCTACTTAGCTTTGCTCCTCTTCTTCTTCTCTCACTTTCTGCCATGGATCTTTGTACCCAGACATATGGGGGTTTATTTACTAAAGCTGGAGAGTCCAAAATCAGACTCCCTTCTGCATAGAAACCAATCAGCTTCCAGGTTTCATTGCCAAAGCTTCAACAAGCTGAGGTTAGAAGCCGATTGGTTTCTATGCAGAAGGGGAGTCTGATTTTGGACTCTCCAGCTTTAGTAAATAAACCCCATGTTGTCATTTCCGGCACTGGCTGCTGGATGCTACTGTCATTTTTTGTTTTAGATCTTCCTGAAAATGTGGTTTTCTTTGGTGTTTCTGTCCCCTGTGCAGAACCTAACTGCTCAGTGTATACTCTATTATTACACAATATCAACTATTGCAGAAGAACTAGTACACCATACTTTTACTGTGCCATAATCAAGCAGACATAATCAATACAATATAAGCACACTTAAACAAAAACAAGCTTTATTACTCTTTATGGAGTTAATCATTAAATAATAGCAAGTAACCTAGGGAAATGACAATTTAATCTCGCCATCTATGTCCACACTGTAAATTGCAGCATTTATAAAATGTAGTCATTGGCTCATCAGCTGAACGGGTCTGGATCTGCATGAAATAGGCACGTGGATGCTCACATTTCGGACAGGTTTCTGAAATTGTTCAAAAAGTAAAACAGATTAGAACAAAGCACAAATAAATAACATATTACCTTGTAATCCTTCTCCATTACATCATGAAAAAAAAAAAGATAGAAAAAATGTTTTTGCAAAGGGGAGTTGGGTGGAATATGCATAACTGCTTCGTCTGGATGAAAAACTGAAGCCCTGATTAGGAAGATTTATATAAAATGTCAAGAATTTTCAACTTATCAACATGAAAGGCTGGCATCAAGAAACCTAAACTTACTCAGATCGCATTTAAATATACACTGCTCAAAAAATATTAAATTAACACTTTTTAATCAGAGTATAGCATCAAGTCATTGAAACTCCTGTGGTATTGATCTGGTCAGTTAAGTAGCAGAGGGGGTTGTTAATCAGTTTCAGCTGCTTTGGAGTTAATGAAATTAACAACAGGTACACTAGATGGGCAACAATGAGATGACCCCCAAAACAGGAATGGTTTTACAGGTGGAGACCACTGACATTTTTTTCCCCTACTCATCTCTTCTGACTGTTTTTCACTAGTTCTGCATTTGGCTAGGGTCAGTGTCACTACTGGCAGCATGAGGCGATACCTGGATCCTACAGAGATTGCACAGGCAGTCCAACTCCTCCAGGATGGCAAATCAATACTTGCCATTGCCAGAAGGTTTACTGTGTCTCCCAGCCTAGTCTCAAGAGCATGGAGGAGATTCTGGGAGACAGGCAGTTACCGTATTTTTCGGCGTATAAGACGACTTTTTGACCCTTGAAAATCTTCTCAAAAGTCGGGGGTCGTCTTATACGCCTGTATATGTCAGGGCGGCACTTTTAAGGGGGGCGGCGCGGTGCTGCCGCCGTCCCCCCCCTTCCGACGGAAGGGACACCAAGTACAGGGGTGGGCAGAGGGCTGCTGTCTCTTACCTGGCTCCCACGACGATCCAGTCCAGGAAGCGCTGCTCCTTCAGTCACTCCGGCCACTCCCTCACTCCTGCTGCTCGGCTCCGCCTCCTCACCGGTGATTGGCCGCCAGAACTGTAGCTCAGGAAAGGCACACAGGCGGCCAATCACGGGCGAGGAGGCGGAGCCGAGCGGACCCGTGAAAATCGAGTGAGGGAGAAGCCGGTAAATGTGCAGTACAGAGGTGCTGGTGCAACCACATATGCTGGCTGCAGCAGCACCATACTGGAAAAGGAGTCACCAAGTGTTATTGGTGTCAGTGGGAGGAATAGTGCCCCATCATTGGTGTCACTGATACTAATGATGGGGCATTATTCCTCCCACTGACACCAACGATAGGGCACTATTCCTCCCACTGACACCAACGATGGGGCACTATTCCTCTCCCCACTGACGGGGAACTATTCCTCCCACTGACACCAATGTTGGGACACTATTCCTCCCACTGACACCAATGATGGGGCGCTATTCCTCTCACTGACACCAATGTTGGGACACTATTCCTCACACACTGACACTAATGTTGGGGCACCATCATTGGTATCAGGGGGAGGAATAGTGCCCTATCATTGGTGTCAGTGGGAGGAATAGTGCCCCATCATTGGTGTCAGAGCGAGCTATCGTGCCCCATCATTGGTGTCAGAGCGAGGAATCGTGCCCCATCATTGGAATACCATACCATATTGAAATCAAATCTGATGTTTTTTAATTTTTAAATTGGTGTGCAGTCTTATACGGCGAGTATAGCCCAAACCCTATATTTTAACAGGAAAAGTAGGGGGTCGTCTTATACGCCGGAAAATACGGTACTCTAGGAGAACTGGACAGGGCCGTAGAAGGTCCTTAACCCAGAACTGGTAAGTCCTCCTTTTGTGTTAAGGAGAAACAGGATAAGCACTACCAGAGCCCTACAAAATTAGCTCCAGCAGGCCACTGGTGTCAATGTCTCTGTCGAAACAATCAGAAACAGACTTCATGAGGGTGGCCTGAGGGCCCAACATCCTTTAGTGGGCTCTGTGCTCACTGCCCAATATCATAGAGCTCGACTAGCATATGCCATTGAACATCAGAATTGGCAGGTCCGCCACTGGTGCCCTGTGCTTTTCATAGATAAGAACAGGTTCACCCTGAGCACGTGACAGATGTGAAAGGGTCTGGAGAAGCCGTGGAGAATGTTATGCTGCCTGTAACTTCTTTCAGGAAGACCATACTGGTGGTGGGTCAGTGATGATCTGGGAAGGCATATCCATGGAGGGACGCAGAGACCTCTACAGGCTACACATTGGCACCCTGATTGCCATTAGGTATCGGATGAAATCCTTGGACCCACTGTCAGACCCTATGCTGGTGCAGTGGGTCCCTGGTTCCTCCTGGTGCATGACAATACCTGCCCTCATGTGGCAAGAGTATGCAGGGAGTTCCGGGAGGATGAAGGAATTGATACCATTGAATGGCACCCACGCTCGCCTGACCTAAATCCAATACAACACCTCTGGGATATCATGTCCATCCGAGGCCGCCAGGTTGCACCTCAGACTGTCCAGGAGCTCAGTGATGCCCTGCTCCAGATCTGGTAGGAAATACCCCAGAACACGATCTGTCGTCTCATTAGGATTATGCCCCGACGTTGTCAGGCATACATACAAACACGTGGGGGCCATACAAACTTTGATTTTCGGGGTGTCTTTGAATTCAGTCCTCTGTAGGTTGATAATTTTCATTTCCATCAAATGATGCAGCATCCTTACATTCCTAACACATTACCCAGTCCATATTGGTATAGATATCCAGCATGATATTTTTCCCCATTGAGATCTGATGTGTTTTCAAAGTGTTCCTTTAATTGTTTTAAGCAGTGCATATATACTTTGCAAGAACACCTTTGAATACATATTCAGTGATATTTACACGTACTTTGTCCATACACAGCAGACTAACAAGTTCGCTTTAACTTAGCCTTTCCCAGCAGCATGTAGTTACCAGATTTTCACTTCTCTGCCGGAGTTACAAGTCAGTCATAGAAGGCACAGGACTATGGACTCCCCATGTGACATGACTGTCACATGAAAGGAGTCACAAGCTTCCCTATACCTGGAGTTGGCAGACTACAGGATGTTTAGCTGGTAGATTTTTGAAGAATCTTGAGCCAATTTATTCACATGGTTAGATGAGGTTAGATCGGATGAAATGTATTATTCACCATAAGGACTGAACTGTTCCATAATGACAGAACAGGTAGCAAGAGAGCCAAATGAAGATATTTACAGTGATCTGCAGACCATCTCATTTGTGATTAGGTGGTCTCAGAATTTCCTGCAGTTCTCCAATTTATAGAGTAGACAGATGTTACAAACGTCATTAGTTTATTTGCTGTTGCCAGATTTTCTACTTCAGGCACCCTTCCAAATTTGGCTCAAACGCAAGGCATCACAGATCCCCTCCCACTTTTCCCACAACCACAGCCAAGCAGGAGTTGAGGCAGAATTTCAATTCTCTAATTCACATCACAATTAAAATGTATTTAAATGCAAAAAATATAAATGAAATATATTGTAGGTTGCCAGCTTTGGATTGTTTTTCTTTTTTGGGGCATTTTCCCATTAGTTTAATCTGTTGATCTAGTCAGTAACACTTCCTGTCCTACGGTGCCAACACGCACTCACTGCACTGCATCCATGGATGTGCATATTTGTCATCCTTGAAAAGGAGGTGTTCGGATTACAGGACAACTCACCACCTTCTCATTTTAATAACCTAAAAGGGAGGGGTTCTGTAGTTCACAGGGTGGAACTGGGCAGGGCTAAAACTGAGATAATACAAAAGGGAACAGGTAAGACAATGCCATAGAAAGCATTTCAGAAATGCTATAACCCATGCTAAGACTTAAAAAAAAATATAAAAACAGAACTGTCCAGAACACCCATCATTAGGGAAAGAAAAGTCTTGGAGAAAAAGGGTCAGGGTATGATTTTTATTAATCTCTGTACTTCCTGACCTATTAGGAAGCATAAGCAATTGCATGATCTGCATTGTCCTATATGAGGCCAAATAATTTTTACTCTCATTTATAAATGAAATCTATTTAAAACACAAACATAAAAACCATTCATATCATACAATTATTACTAACCTGCAGTTGAGTCAACATTTTCCCAAGCTGCAGAGCCTCCCAAAACGTCATCAACTTCCTTGAGTTTGGGATACTTTCTGCTAGTGACCTGAGATCAAATGAGTAAAGAAACTATAAATATGTAGAATAAACAATGCATATACAGTGCTCATTGCCTGGCTTTAAGCTGTACATACTAAAGCCACTGGTTTCTGCTCAGTTTACTTACAGGACTCACTTCCTCACCCAGCATTACTCACCTTTCTCTCCTAGTTGTTTTCTCCCATACCAAACCATGCAATCAGCTGTATTCATTGGTTGACATTAAACTTAATTCTTGCAGACAGATAATTTAGTTTGTAATCCTCAGGCAAAATGTGGAGTTAGCCTTTTACTCTCACAGTACCAGAAGATTGCCACTCAGGGCTTTATCTGGTGGCTGCAGAAGCAGGCATCTGCAGGTAATCGGATACACACAAAGTGATTCTAAACGTTTATTTTTTTTTCCTTTAAAATAATAAACACATCATGCCTACCTGCTCTGAGTGATGGTTTTGCACAGAACAGCCCTGATCCTCTTCTTCTTGGTTCCCCCCTGGCACTTCTGGCCCTCTTCCTTGCCAAGTGCGCCATAGCAAGCCACTTGCTCTGGGGGCACTCTTGAGTACTTGCTCCAAATCCGGCTCTGTGTGTCTATGGGACACACAGAGTATGGCTCAGCTCCACCCCCACTCACTCCTCACTGGCTGGGATTAACAGCAGCAGGAGCCAATGGTTCCCGCTGCAGTGTCTGAGCCAATGAGGAGGGAGAGAACTAGGAGAGCCACTGTTCTTGTGCACATCACTGGATTGAGATCAGGCTCGGGTCAGTATTATGGGGGGACTACACACTAAATATTTTTTTATCTTTAATGCTTAAAAGAATGAGGGTAAAAAACCTTCAGCTTTGAAGGACACTTTAACATGCACAGTGTTGTATCCCCCCAAAATATGCAAAAACTTCAGCCTTAAATTCTATTCACACCCCATTCACACTTGTGAGACTCGTCATGCGACTTTGGACATCAAAGTCACATGACAAGTCGTACCCCATGTTTTCCAATGATACTCATTCATATATGTGCGAATTAAAGTCTCAGTGACTTCAAAGTAGTTCATGCACTACTTTGGTCCGACTTTCATGCAACTTGAGGGCCATAGACATCAATGTTAACCTACAACAGTTATCCAAGTCACACCAATTCTAAGTTGTGTCAAAGTTGTACGCCAAGGTTGTGCGACTTTGGAGTCATACAAGTGTGAATGGAGCCTTAATCCTACATGTTAATCTGAAGCTGGCCATACTCTTTTGTACAGTTTCCTTTAGACCGACCAAAACCAAATGTAATATCAGAATGAACCTAAATCCATTCAATTAATATTAAAGTGTTACTAATCCCACAACATTAAATCAGTCTGTATATGCAGAAAAGCATGCTTGTTATACCCACTGTGGAACCTAAGGGGTTAATCCTCTGCATTGTGTAAAAAGGCTGTTTGATCCTGTCTTCTCTGATCCTCCCCTTATTCCAGTGTCCCCCTCTTATCTCCTGATAAGACATATTGTGTGGCGTCACTCTGCACATGCTCAGTTTAGTGTGTATTGCTAGACAGGTTTTGTTTTTTTTCTTGGGAGAGTGCATGTGATCAGCACAGGGCCAATGAGCACTGTCTAGACAGAGGTCAGGGGTTCTACATCTTCCTAGAGCAAAATGAAAACTCCTACAAGCTGTAACCAGTGTTCTGCTGAACACGGATAGAAGTCACAAGACTGCTCTAACTGCTGATGAGAAAAAGGTATTTAGCAGTTTCTATTTACAAAAATAATTTCATTTTCATATTGTGTGTACTGTGGAAGATCAGATATAGTGAAGGCAGGGTCCTGGGTTTAGTAACACTTTAAGTCGGCCATAGATGGATTTTAATTCAGCCAGTTCAGCAAAGATTAGCTAAATTTTGATCCATCTATGGACAGGCTGGTTTTACAGACGTTTTTCTATACAATCAGCCGGCTGTGTTCACTTGATCAGTCCCGGCTGGCCATAGGGCACACCGGGTATTTGCCCGGTGGGCCAAGGCCACCTGGATAGGGGTAGTACATAGAGGACTGTGCATTTCTTGGTTCCTCTATGTGCCGCCCCTTCTATCCATCTCCTGCATGCCCTGGGCTCCTGTATGCTCCTCCCACAACTGCTTCCCCCCCCAATCTCCTACAGCGCTGTGGGGGATATGTCAGCATATTTTTTGCACAGTACTGACAGCCCCCCCACCACCACCCACAGACTGGAGAGGAGAGAGAAAGCTGGTTCTGCCCCTGCTCCTTCTGCCCACTCCTCCTATATGTGCCTACCCACACTCTCCGCCATCCTTGTGTCTCTCTCTCCTTCTCTTGCTTCCTTCTTTCTCTCTCTGCCATCTGTTTGTCTCCTTTCTTTCTTTCTCTCCTTTCTTTCTCTTGTTTCTCTCCTTCCTTCTATACTTCTCTCTTTCTTTCTCTCTCTGTCTCCTGTTTCTCTCCTTTACTTCTCTCCCTTTTTTTCCCCTCCTTACTTTCTATACTTCGGTCTTTCTTTCTCTCTCTCTCTGTCTCCTATTTCTCTCCTTCTCTTGTTTTCCTCCTTCATTCTTTCCTTTCTTTCTCTTTCTGTCTCCTTTTTCCTTTCTATATTTCTCTTTTTCTTACTCCCTGTCTCCAGTTTCTCTCCTCTCTCTTTTTCCCGCCTTCCTTCCTTTCCTCCATTCCCTCCTTCCTTTCCTTTCTTCCATGCCCTCCTTCCTTTCATAATCACTCTCTTCCTTTCTTTCCTTCTCTCCTACAAAAAAAAAAAATTAAAAATATAATAAAACTATAAAACTGTAAAAACTTAAAACAAAAATGAAATCTTACTGACACTAGTGGTGGAACTACCACGGTCGCAAAGGTTGCTCTTGCAACCGGGCCCTGGCATTCTGCCACCGGGCTCTGAGAAAAGGGTCCCTGGGCTTGGGGCTGCTCAGTCCAAAATGCCTGGGCCTATTTTTTGTCCTGGTCCGGGCCTGCCAGCAGTTATTAGTATCAGCAGCACTGATCAGTGTATTCTGATAATGGTAAACTCTCCCTGCTGTCAGGATACCATAGTTCTGCAGGAAGGATTCCACACCAAGTGTGTTGATGAGGCAATTAAATCATTAAAAAAATGCATCATCTATGGCCTGCCTTAGAGTTCTTCCACACTGGCGATTCGCTTCTTTCATCAGTTCAGTCGTCTTTTCAAATTAAATTTGGATTCTGTTTACATCAGTTTTTTACATCCACTACCAATGTAAAAACCTATGCAAAGTGGACTGTTTGTCTATTCACATCCGTTTTAAGTCTGTTCAATTTTTTTAATGGAACAAAAATAGAGCGTACATCCATTTTTCCATAGAGATGCATTGATGTCCATTTTTCATCTGTCAATGGATGGGTGAAACAAAAATGGAACGCCCGTGTGAAAGGGGTCTTAGAAACGCCTTGCACGTCATAGTTGTACAATCAGATTGTATTGTGTATGGTTACCTTATGGCTAAAACAGTGTGCAATTTCACTGCAGAACAAAGTGTTGTCACCTTTTCCAGGACTAGATGTAGGAACAGACCTAAAGGTAGTATGAACAGCCAATAAAGCAAGCAGTCACAGAGGTGATGGATATACACATTTGTCTACACTGAAACATCCATCCTTAAGCATTACCTTGCGGTTTATGTTGTGCACATATGGACAGGTATTACAGGCGAACCGATAGCATTTCTGTCCCTCCTCCACGATCAGCACATTCCCGCACGTCGGACAGAACAACAACATGCTTAGGGAACCAGGAAAACTCTTCTTCCGCCATTAAGAAGCAAATCCTTGCGCATTTCCGCCACTAGTTACTAAAGGGACATCACTTCCGACGGCCTATGATTGGCTGATAGGGAACACGGAAGTGGGTAGTATGTTTATGTTCCGTGTGGTAGGTGTGTGTGGAGATGTAGGAGGCGGTGGTGTGCTGGTCACCGGAGAGCGAAGTGTTTCTAGTATAAAGGAAGACGGTGAGGCTCCCAATGTCGCGCTAGTTGTGAGCACTGTGGAGTATACTGACGGTGGGGTTAGCTGAGTGTACTTTGTATGGAGACGGTGGAAGCGGCAGGAAATGGAGAGATACACACCTAGAATGACTGATGGTAGAGTCCTGTTCCCGGCCATGACAGAGCAACCTCCACACCTACTCCTACCTGTCATAGAAAATAGGGGTCTGTTGGGAAATCATTGGTCGTAATTATCAAAGACTTTGCGCTTTGTTAGTAAGTTTTTGTTATAGAAAGGAATATATTACACCTATAGGAGCGGACACTGGGGGGGGGGGTTTGTTAGGAAGTCCCTCCCCCCTTAATATATAAAGTCATGAAGATGACCTAAAACTTTAACACGCACACTCAAGCTGGTCATAGATCCGATCTCAGCAGGGACCGACCCGAGATTGGATCATCTATGGTCAGGCTGGTTGTACCTGAGTCAATCCATCGATCAACTTTTGTACAACCAGCATGTTGGATTTTTTACATGAGATTACTGCTGCCAGCTATAGCCACTAGCAATGCTCATTGTGTTCTGCCAGCAGGGAAGGCTTCCCACTGGGAGAACACAATAGATCCATGGGGGGATCAAGCTGCAGGAAAGAAATTTGATGGATGGACTATTATATATTTCAGGTACTTATATAGCGCTGTCAATTTACGCAGCGCTTTACATTTATATTGTGCATTCACATCAGCCCCTAACCCTCAAGGGGTGTACAATCTAAGGTCCCTAACTCACATTCATACATACACATACTAGGGCCAATTTAGACAGGAGCCAATTAACCTGTCTTTGTAGTGTGGGAGGAAACCGGAGTACTCAGAGGAAACTCACGCAGGCACAGGGAGAACACCCTAGTACTGCCAGACGAAAGTGCTAACCATTTAGCCACTACCTGAGTCAATCCATCGATCAGCTTTTGTACAACCAGTATGTCAGATTTTTTACATGAGATTACTGCCGCCATCTATTGCCTCTAGCAGTGCTCATTGTGTTCTGCCAGCAGGGAAGGCTTCCCACTGGGAGAACACAATAGATCTATGGGGGGGGGGGATCAAGCTGCAGAAAATAAATTTGAATCATGTGGCCTGCCTTACGTACATTACACTTACATTACCTCCATGCTGCCTCTCCTTTTGTCCTCTTCATGGTGCCTTGCTGCAGCCTGTGCTCTCATGCAGTTTGCACATTTTTTTCCAAGTCCACTCACAGTATAGTCCTAGGACCATGCGTAAGGTGAAAAGCATGAAGTCAGGCAGCTTATCTCATGCATGCGCCTTACAATATTACATTTGTTTGTTTTAAAAAAAAAAAAAAGTTTTTTTTTTAAACAGATGAATGTAACGGCTTCAGCACATGCAAGAGATGAGCCACATGACATCATGTACTGCACATGTGTGCAACAATACAGCAAAGGTTTGTATATATTAGGTACAAGATCTCCCTGGAGGCACTGATGGTACTGGTTGGCCTTCCCAAGGGACATAAATTCGGCTGGGGCTACATCATCCGTGCCTTCAGGGATACCAGGAAACAGGCACAAGAAAGGGAAGTAAATAACACCTAAGAAAAAAAACAAAATGTTAGACGATTTCACATCAGTATGCAGAGATACATGCTTATGTGAGTTTTAGTAAAACTGGGGAAAGGTCCACCTTAAAGCAGAGCTCCACCCAAAAGGGGAAGTTCCGCTTTAAGGACTGCTCCCCCGCTCCCCATTAAGGATTGGCACCTTTGGGGAGCGGGTACCCGAATTTGACAGGTACCCGCTCCCACTTTCGGTCCGATCTCCTAGGCGATCCGTAATGGAAGGTGTCCTCCATCCCTCCCTGTAGTCTTTTGGGACACGTGACAGGTCCCAGAAGACTACAGGACCATTCATGAAGCGCAGTGCTACTCACGCATGTGCAGTGGATACCCGGCCATGAAGCCGCAAGCTATCACAGCCAGGTGCCCACACTGAAGATGCCACCCTCCTGGAATACAGGACGGCTGGTGAAACAAGCTGCGGGGGACACACCACAGGACCGAGAGACAGGTAAGTGGCTGTTTTTTAAAAGTCAGCAGCTACAGTTTTTGTAGCTGCTGACTTTTATTTTTTGATAGGTCGAGTGGAACTCCCCTTAAAGCATCATTCATGCAGACTTTTAGAGGCTAAAAATATGCTGGTTGATGAATTTCAGGTGTTTTACTGTACTCAGGGAGCCAGAGGTGCTGCATAAAAACCGCCATATAAGTGAGGAGTAAGCCTTGTACACATACACCATATTACTGAGCACAAAACTTCCATGTTCAGGAAATACAGTGGGGTTGATTTTCTAAAACTGGAGAGTGCAAAATCTGGTGCAGCTGTGCATGGTAGCCAATCAACTTCAGTTTGTTCAATTAAGCTGTGACAAAAAAAAACCACTGGAAGCCGATTGGTTTCTATGCAGAGCTGCACCAGAAATTGCACTTTTTTTTTTTTTTTTTTTTTTTTTTAGTAAATCAACCCCATTGTGTGGACATGCACAGGTAAGCACCGATACAGAAGAGATACTACTATGACTGATTTGTAAAGTTCTGAAACAATTTATTACTGAAGATATAACAATTTTACACTCAAAACCAGCCTTTCTCAACTTTTTTTTTTTTTTTAACATTAGGGGGACCCTTAAAATAATGTTTAGGTCTTGGAGACCGCTGACAAGTGGAAATGTGTCCCTTTAGCTTGGTGGTCATTTGAAGGACCCCTTACAATTCTGATCCGAATTCCCCCCTTTCAGACAGATAATTGATCATTGGCATCATGCCACTGGCTCGGCCAAATAACATTGGCCTTTGAACCAAGCAGATACCATCGGAAGGGAAGTCAAACAGCCACAGCTCAGGGAGCTCTTATCAATCTCTAGAGCAACCCAGTGCTACTCTAGAGTAGCTTTGGGAAGAATTTAGGAACTAAGCTGTAAACTTGTAATAAATCTGTCACTTCCTCACCCCTTACATTCCTATTTAGCAATTCCTTGCTATGCAACAGAATTGATAAATGTCCCCCACTGTGGCTACCTGGCTACCATTTGTAGAATCTTTAATTGCTGTTGTTGAAAACTTCACGTTGCTATTGCCAAACAAATCTACTTGAAGAATGTTCCCATCTGCACACTTTGGAGTTTAGTTCAAATATTACTCAGCACACAAGTGTCTAACAGAACTATCCCCTAGCTGCAAGACAATATATCAGTGACCTGGTGAGTTTCCAGTAATATCAGTCCAAAAAAGTCCCAACACTTTAAACATCCAGCTTCTGTTTCCAAACAGGTAAGTAGATTCCAAAATTTCCAATCTGGGAGATGAAAAACCTTGCAAGCCAGCATTTCAAATACTTGCTTTTTGTGATTCTACCTGCAATTTTTGTAAGTTGGTAACAGGGTCTCTTTAACACAAAATTTCCTTGATTAAAGGATTGAAAACAAAGGAAATACTTTTAGAGGAAAATTTTTCTCTAGCCACATAGATTATTGCAAACTGTTTAATTACAGGGAAGGAAATGGACTGAAAGCAGAATTATACTACATTCAGAATCTTGATGTTTGAAAACTACACACTCATATGTAGGTCGGTTTATGGTCAGAACTTTAAAAAATGTTTTGCTTTTAAGAATTTATTTTTTAACAGGATTATCTTTCTAGAGAAATGGATGGTGATATAAAAATTAAATCAGAATATGACCACTACAAAGACATTCAGTCTAATGAGGTTGAAGAAGATGCAGAAGAGGAGCTTCCACATGCAGAGGTTGTGGACATATTCCAGGAAGGCTTAGCAATGTTGGTGCAGGATCCTTTACTATGTGACTTACCAATACAGGTAAACAGTACATTTTGCATTGGTACAAACACATGCCAAACCTTCCTTTGTTCAGTTAAAATATATTCTTTGTGTGCTTGGTCCATCTTAAAGTGTATAGGTTTAATGTTTTTTACTTTAGTGCTTTCTCTGCATTAAAGTAAATAACCTTTTATATGCGGTCTGCAGAAGCTTACATTTAGGCTGCACTGAAGCAGCATAGAGTCTGCATTCAGGCTGAGCTTGATGCACATATGCTTGACTAGTCCTTGAAGTCTATTATGGAGCCCAGTGCAATTAATTTTGACACAACTTTTTGAGGAAATTATAAGTTTCTAGAAAGCGGGGCATTTTGCAGCATTGCATTACATTATTGCACGCATGAACTGCATCCAGACATGCATACGTAACGCATAAAGTGCATGCATACCTAATGCATAAACTGCATCCAGACTTGCATACCTAATGCATAAACTGAATAGGTAAATGCATACTGAATTGCATAAACTGCATGCATACTGGTGTGAACTACATATTTGTATAAATCTGCACACTTGCATAGCTGAGTGCCTGTATACTTGCATAAACTAAACTGCATAAATGCATACTTGTATACGTTCTTATCTACATACCTGTGGTACCTGCATAGCTGCATGCCTGCATAGCTGTAGACCAACATGGCAATGGACCTGCAGGACTGCATAGTTAGGTAGCAATATATAGTTGCTACACTATTGAGTTAAATGATCCCAGAAGGTGGAAGTAACTGTGAGACAGGTACACCATCCTCGAGTCCAGTGGGGGGTAATCACAATGGATTAGTGGGATCAGGTTCATCTGGGCCACTGCGTTTATCTCGCACTACAGCTATTCCTGGTGGCAGGGCTGGAGTGGGCTGTGGTCAAATCGCCCTGAGCTCACCTGATCTTGTGCAGCACAGGGGCTTAATGGTTAGCACCTCTACCTGGCAGCACTATGGTTGTTGGTTCAGATCCCAACCATGAGGCTGCTGTGTTTTGAGAAGTATCTCGGGCAGAGGATACTGGGGCAATCTCTGAGGTGACTTGCTACGTCTTTAGTGACAGAAAACCTAAAATGGGCTAGGTACGCCTCTAGGGGCCGTCTGGTTTATCGTAGAGTTATCAGGCTTTTGCCTTTGCATTTTCGCTTGGAGCAGTATTGTAAGACACTCAACAGGTTCGTGGACCCAAAACCAAAATGGGACCACAAGGTCTATCTTAGATCTCAAGGCACTAGACATCGGTCTAGGCTTCCTGATTCAGAGGAGATCGGTCCAATCAGTGGTGGCCTCTCTGCAAGAGATACATTTCGGGTGTCCATAGTCCTTAATGATGCATATTTTTGTGTTCCAACTTTTTTTTCAGGCTCATCAGGGTTTCTGCGATTGGCAGTAAAGAATCACCATTTTTGTTTTGGAGCACTTCTCTTTCGGGCTGGCCACAGCCCCCTGAGTGTTCATAAGGCTCCTAGCCCCATTGTTGGGCTTGCTGGGGGTACAGGAGTTGTCAATCTCAAAATATCGTAATGCTCCTTTGCTCAGGGAGCAGTCTGTTTCAAATTCAAAGTGAAATATAACAGGCAAAAGGTATCCTTCAGTATATCTCTGCTTGAGGAAAAGGTATCTACTTTGAAGCAGTTTCCTACATGCAGTTCCACTCCAGAAGAACATGCTGTCTGGATCATGAAGCTCTCATCATTGGATTGTCGAAGGGCTTTGTCCCCAGACTATTGCAGAATGGGAATTGGTGGTTGTTATAGCATCTCCGGTTGGGGGACTGGTTTGGAGATGGCTACAGTTCTGGGGGACTTGGCCTCCACAGGAAATACTTCCCATCAATATCTTGGACCTTCGGTCAGTACACTTTGCTCTGGATTATAGGACTAACCAGTTGCACAGGTTGTGGTAAGGGTTTGGTCTGACAATGCCAGGGCAGTAGCATATCTCAACCACCAGGGTGGCACCAGGAATCCTGCGGTTCATGGTGATATACATTCTGTCTGTATGTCTGTCGGCAGTACATATTCCAGGTATAGAAAACTGGCAGGGGGTTTATTCCCCAGTCGTCAGCACCTAATACCGGAAAAGTGGGGCCTGTATCACGAGACGTTTTTCGGCAGCCTACCAGGCTGCATGTAGAGCTACTGGATTTCAGGTTCTGCAACAGGTTAGACAGGTTGCGTCCAGAACGAGAGTCCCACAGGCATAGAGGTAGATACACTGGTTACACCTTAAAGACCAGTTCTCCCTGATCTATGCCTTCCCTCGATTCAAATATGGCCGCATCTTTGAGCAGGATCCGGGAGGAGTGGTTGTCTGGCCTAGCCAAAGAAGGGCTTGGTATACCAACATAGTGAATCTAGCAGTGGAAGCTCCTTGGACACTTCCGGTCTGCCCAGACTTATTGTCTGGAGTCCAATAATGTATCTTGCTTACGATCACTAGGATTGGAGGCTTAGCTATTAAAGCCGAGGGTTGAGAAGATATGGGGAACTTGGGTCCAGTTTTCTCTGCACTGTTGAGCACCAGGACCTGGAAATCTTATCTGCCTGGTGTGAAGCTAAGTTATGCCATCCATGGAGATGAACTGGCCTTACGTACCATTAGGGGTCAGACTTTGGCACTATCCATTTGTTCCCATTGATTCATGCTTAGTGCAAGGTGTAATGTGGTTGGTACCGCCTGTACAAGCACTCTTGTGTCCTTAGGACTTGAACTTGGGCTTGGTTGTCCTTACAAGAAGCCACCTTTTGAACCAATTCAGGAAACTCCATTAGCCCTTTAACTCAGAAGGTGGCTTCCTTGGTTACTATCACTTCGGGAAGAAAAGTGCCAGAGCTGGTGGCCCTTTCATGTAAGGAGCCGTTCTTGGTCTTGCATCATGATAAAGTTATGTTGCGTCGTCATCCATGTTTCTTGTCTAGAGTGGTCTTCACTTTCAGCAGGACATTGTTTTGCATTCCTCTTTTCCTAGTCCGCAGGGGAAGGATCGCTTGAATACTTTGAAGGCAGTTTGGGTGGTCAGGATTTACTTGAGTTTGGGGCACAGGTCAGGAATCCTGGTTTGTGCTGCCAGAAGGGCCGGCGGCATTAAGGTCTACTATTTCTAATTGAATCCACCAGTTATTTATTCAAGTTCCTACATTCACAAAGTTCTACCAAGTGGATGTCAGAGTTAGAGAGGATACAGCCTTTCACCGCAGTATGTTACAAGCAGCAGAATAAGTCTTTTAGGCTGGTGAGGGTTTTTCTGTGATATGTGTCTCCCTCCCCTCAAGGGCATTGCTTTGGGACAACCCAGATAGTGATATAAGATAAAGAAAATTGGATTTTTTTCTACATACTTACCTGTAAAATCTATTTCTTTGAGTACATCATGGGACACAGAGGTCCCTCCCCTCTTTCTGGGAGTTTCTTGCTACAAAACTGAGGCACTTCCTGTGTAGAAGGGGTTTTATAAGGGAGGGCTTCCTGTCTGTTTTTGGTTTGCCAGTGTCCATTCACCTATAGGTGGTGCATAACCCAGATAGTAATGTTTATAGCCTGCACTGTGTTCTGTGATGTACTAAAAGAAATGGATTTTACATGTAACTATGTAGAAGAAATCCAATTTTTGGTGCTTCATGAGCACACTGCCAAAAAGATGCAGGCAAATAGAAGTGCTTACTCTATGTGGGTGTCTTTTGATCTTCTTGGCCACAGGTTTTCCTGGAGGTTAAGCATGTTCTGATTTTAATCTGAAGCTGTTTATTAATCGTTTATACTAGTAAGTGCCCAGATGAAAAATATATTTTTCTGATGTCTTTCAATTTTTTTCTAGGTCACACTGGAAGAAATAAATTCACAAATTGCACTTGAATTTGGCCAAGCCATGACTGTTAATGTTTGTAAAGCTGACAAAGATATAATGCGTAAGTGTATTATAGGTATACAAAAATTATTGGTTATGTGGGCCCAACAGACAGGCAATGGCGTATGCCTCACCCTTCCTTATCCTGCACTATCCAAGAGGAAAATGATTACCTACTGTGAAGAAAATAAGTAAGTATTTGATCCCCTGCTGATTTTGAATGTTTTCCCACTCACAAAGAAATGATCAGTCTAAAAATTGTATGGTAGGTGTATTGTAACACTGAGAGACAGAATAGCAACACAAAATTCAAAAGAAATGCATGTCTAACAAATTATGCACTGATTTGCATATTCATGAGGAAAATAAGTATTTGATCCCCTGTCATTCAGCAGGATTTCTGGCTACCAGGTGTCTTTCATACAGGTAACAAGCTGAGATTAGAAGTAGTCTCTTAAAGGGAGTGCTGCCTATCTCATTTTGTTACCTGTATAAAAGACACCTGTCCACAGGAGCAATCAAACAATCAGATTCCGAACTCTCCACCATGCAAATACCAAACGGCTGTCCAAGGATGTCAGGGACAAGATTGTAGACCTACACAAGGCTGGACTGGGCTACAAAACTATCGCCAAGCAGCTTGGTGAGAAGGTGACAACAGTTGGTGCAATCATTGGCAAATGGAAGAAACACAAAACAACTGTCTCCCTAGGTGTGGTGCACCGTGCTTAATCTCACCTCGTGGAGTGTCAATGATCATGAGAACAGTGAGGAATCATCCCAGAACTACACGTGAGGATCTTGTCAATGATCTCCAGGCAGCTGGGACCACAGTCACCAAGAAAACAATTGGTAACACACTACGCCGACAAGGATTTAAATCCTGCAGTGCCCGCAAGGTCTCTCTGCTCAAGAAAGCACATGTCCAAGCCCATCTGAAGTTTGCCACTGAACATCTGAATGATGCAGAGGACGACTGGTTGAAAGTGTAGTGATCAGATGAGACCAAAATTTAGCTCTTTGGCATCAACTCAACTCGCCGTGTTTGGAGGAGGAGAAATGCTGCTTATGACCCCAAGAACACCATCCCAACTGTCAAACATTGTGGTGGAAACATTCTGCTTTGGGGGTGTTTTTCTGCTAAGGGGACAGGACAACTGCACTGCATCAAAGGGACGACGGACAGGGCCATGTACCATCAAATTTTGGGTGAGAACCTTCTTCCCTCAGCCAGGGCATTGAGAATGGGTCATGGATGGGTGTTCCAGCATGACAATGACCCAAAACACATGGCCAAGGCAACAAAGGAGTGGCTCAAGAAGAAGCACATTAAGGTCCTGGAGTGGCCTAGCCAGTCTCCAGACCTTAATCCGATTGAAAATTTGTGGAGGGAGCTGAAAGTTCGAGTTGCCAAACATCAGCCACCAAACCTTAATGACTTGGAGAGGATCTGCCAAGAGGAGTGGGCCAAAATCCCTCCTGAGATATATGCATACCTGGTGGCAAACTACAGAAAACGTCTGACCTCTGTGATTGCCAACAAGTACTAAGTCATGTTTTGTGAAGGGGATCAAATACTTATTTCCCTCATGAACATGCAAATCAGTGCATAATTTGTTAGACATGCATTTCTTTTGAATTTTTTGTTGCTATTATTTCTCTCAGTGTTACAATACACCTACCATTCCGTTTTTAGACTGATCGTTTCTGTGTGAGTGGGCAAACATTCAAAATCAACAGGGGATCAAATACTTATTTCCTTCACTGTATACATACATGTTCAGTATAGAAGTATGTATTAATTTAATGATACATGCATTAGTGTAAGACACATATTTATTATTGATAATATGCACATACAAATTCTATGAATATTAATGAATAACTTTTTCACGTAAGTTCCAAAGGTGAGAGACACACAAAAATTGTGAATAAAAATTATATTGGATACAGAAACATCAATACAGGCAACAGGACTATTGAAAAAACCTTTCATGATTAGCTCCCCTCCAGTACTCCTAAATACGTATTTGTCTTATCTCGATCCAGAGTGTCTGTCTGTCTCTATATGTATCTGTCTTTATCTCCTGCAACATTAAGCCACTTTGCATGCATGCAATCCACACCTGCTTCGCTGTATCCATTGGTAACTGACTCAACTCTTCCCTACAACACTGGGATACTTTGCATGGCTGAAATCCACATGACTTTGCTGAGACTTTTCAAACTGCTGTTTATACTTGTTTGTATTGAGTTACACTCCCTTTTCATGGTGCTTTAACCAAGGTCAGACTCCTATCCTTATCTTGCTGTCTCCATCCTGCTTTGCAATCTGTTTATGGCAGAAAACCTCTACTTTCACCATGTGTAAGCTCTTAATTGAACAATTGTTTGTCTTCCCCCCTACCCCATGCCAGTATAAATTTAGTTCAACTGTTAGGACGGCTTGCGCGGTCAGGCTTGTCACTTCTTCTGCAAAGCGCCAGTTCTTTGCAAAGTGCCTGGCACTTTCAACACGGCACTTCTACAGAAGCAAGTGCAAGCAGTAGTGCTCTATGCCAAATTGTCTGGAAGTTCCCTTTTATCTTTTCTCTCTCCCTTAGCCTTTTTCTTCTCTTCTCCCTACCCTCCAACATGCTCATACTAATCTCCTTCTTTGCAATAACGCCTCTCTCCTCAAACTCTCATTTCTTTAACCCCCCTCCACCGCACAACCTGTACATACAGTCAGGTCCATAAATATTGGGACATCGACACAATTCTAGAATTTTTGGCTCTATACACCACCACAATGGATTTGAAATGAAACAAACAAGATGTGCTTTAACTGCAGACTGTCAGCTTTAATTTGAGGGTATTTACATCCAAATCAGGTGAATGGTGTAGGAATTACAACAGTTTGCATATGTGCCTCCCACTTGTTAAGGGACCAAAAGTAATGGGACAATTGGCTTCTCAGCTGTTCCATGGCCAGGTGTGTGTCATTCCCTCATTATCCCAATTACAATGAGCAGATAAAAGGTCCAGAGTTCATTTCAAGTGTGCTATTTGCATTTGGAATCTGTTGCTGTCAACTCTCAAGATGAGATCCAAAGAGCTGTCACTATCAGTGAAGCAAGCCATCATTAGGCTGAAAAAACAAAACAAACCCATCACAGAGATAGCAAAAAACATTAGGCGTGGCCAAAACAACTGTTTGGAACATTCTTAAAAAGAAGGAACACACCGGTGAGCTCAGCAACACCAGAAGACCCGGAAGACCACGGAAAACAACTGTGGTGGATGACCGAAGAATTCTTTCCCTGGTGAAGAAAACACCCTTCATAACAGTTGGCCAGATCAAGAACACTCTTCAGGAGGTAGGTGTATGTGTGTCAAAGTCAACAATCAAGAGAAGACTTCAGCAGAGTGAATACAGAGGGTTCACCACAAGATGTAAACCATTGGTGAGCCTCAAAAACAGGAAGGCCAGATTAGAGTTTGCCAAACAACATCTAAAAAAGCCTTCACAGTTCTGGAACAACATCCTATGGACAGATGAGACCAAGATCAACTTGTACCAGAGTGATGGGAAGAGAAGAGTATGGAGAAGGAAAGGAACTGCTCATGATCCTAAGCATACCACCTCATCAGTGAAGCATGGTGGTGGTAGTGTCATGGCGTGGGCATGTATGGCTGCCAATGGAACTGGTTCTCTTGTATTTAATGATGATGTGAGTGCAATATTATCTGCTCATATTCAGCCAAATGCTTCACAACTCATTGGACGCCGCTTCACAGTGCAGATGGACAATGACCCAAAGCATACTGCAACCAAAGAGTTTTTTAAGGGAAAGAAGTGGAATGTTATGCAATGGCCAAGTCAATCACCTGACTTGAATCCGATTGAGCATGCATTTCACTTGCTGAAGACAAAACTGAAGGGCAAATGCCCCAAGAACATGCAGGAACTGAAGACAGTTGCAGTAGAGGCCTGGCAGAGCATCACCAGGGATGAAACCCAGCGTCTGTTGATGTCTATGCGTTCCAGACTTCAGGCTGTAATTGACTGCAAAGGATTTGCAACCAAGTATTAAAAAGTGAAAGTTTGATTTATGATTATTATTCTGTCCCATTACTTTTGGTCCCTTAACAAGTGGGAGGCACATATGCAAACTGTTGTAATTCCTACACCGTTCACCTGATTTGGCTGTAAATAACCTCAAATTAAAGCTGACAGTCTGCAGTTAAAGCACATCTTGTTAGTTTAATTTCAAATCCATTGTGGTTGTGTATAGAACCAAAAATGTTAGATTTGTCGATGTCCCAATATTTATGGACCTGACTGTATCTTCCTCACTTTTACCCTCTCCATATTACTGCACCTATCACCTCCTGCTCTTTCTGAGCCCACACAGTGTCACTTCCAATTCACTGCAACATCTGCTGTCATATAAATCCTGCTCACACCTTACTGCCCTCACCCTCCTAGCTACTGAATATTCAATGGCTAACTGTTAGTAGTATTATAAAGTGGAAGCAACTGGAAACAGCAACTCAGCCATGTAGTGGTAGGCCTTGACAGAGCGGGATCAGCACGTGTGAAGCACAGAAGTCGGCAACTCTCAGTCAATAGCTAAAGACCTCCAAACTTCATGTGGCCTTCAGATTAGCACAGCAACAGTGTGTAGAGCGCTTCATGGAATGGGTTTCCATGGCCAAGCAGCTACATACAAGCCTTACATCACAAAGTGCAATGCAAAGTGTCAGTTGCAATGGTGTAAAGCACGCCACCCACTGGACTCTAGAGCAGTGGTGACGTGTTCTCTGAAGTGACGAATCACGCTTCTGTCTGGCAATCTGATGGATGTGTCTGGGTTTGCCTTTTGCCAGGAGAACGGTACTAGCCTGACTGCATTGTGCCAAGTGTAAAATTTGGTGGAGGGGATTATGGTGTGGGGTTGTTTTTCAGAGGTTGGGCTTGGCCCCTTAGTTCCAGTGAAAGTTTAAGGCGTCGGCATACGAAGACATTTTGGACAATTTCATGCTCCAAACTTTGTAGGAACAGTTTGGGGAGGGTCCCTTCCTATTCCAACATGACTGTGCATCAGTGCACAAAGCAAGGTCCATAAAGACATGGATGAGCGAGTTTGGGGTGAAGGAACTTGACTTGCCTGCATAGAGTCCTGATCTCAACCTGACAGAACACCTTTGGGAATTAGAGCGGAGACTGTGAGCCAGGTCTGAGCACCCTCCTAAACCTTGTGGACAGCCTTCACAGAAGAGTTGAAGCTGTTATAGCTGCAAAGGGTGGGCCAACTCAATATTGAACCCTACACATTAGGAATGGCATGCCATTAAAGTTCATGTCCGTGTAAAAGCAGGTGTTCTAATATTTTTGGCAATATAGTGTCTGTACGTGTATATATGTATGTATATATATATATATTTTTTTTTTTTTTTTTTTACGCTTCCCAGTAATTCTATTCTTTAAAGCTGACCTCCAGGCAAAGTAAATCTAATAAATAGTTATGGAGTTACATACTGTTTGCTATTCTTCTGTTATGTCCATCAGAATGACCGGCCATGCAGCCTGCTTCCTATCTGCTGCTTCCCCCTCAGCAGCTTAATGAAGGCAGCATGGATGTGACATATGCAGTAGGTAGAGACTAGCATTCAGTGGCCTTTGTTAAAATGCTTTTCCCCACCCACCACCTGTTCCTGTACTACTGTAAATATAGGGCTGACAGAGCTATCAAGTTAAAATATAATTAGAACAAGGGATCTGACACTATGATCCTGCAGCGATTACAGGGTTATTCTCTGGCTCCCCTGTCAACACCATTGTAGTGCATATCCAGTAGAAGAGGAGCAGTCTGTCTTCTCTTTACCTCCAGCTCCCTGGTAGCACTGCATTTAGAGATGCAGCACTCACTTTAATGGCAGCGTGTCGCTTGCAAGGCGCTGTGGTAGTTAATTTATTCTTCTTGTCAGAGTGTATCTGATTGCCTGCATGAGGTACAAGCACACAGATACAGACAGGTCTGCAGGAATCCTGCATGGTACTAGCGATCTGCTGTACTCTGGTGCAATGCTTTTCAGGCTCCCAAAACAAAAAAAAAATAGTAAATGCACATTTTTTTCCTGCAAAAAAATGTGCATTTAGGGCATACATGCCGACAGCTGCAAAGGCTGTCAGAGTTTTTCCATTCACAGAATACTGTGAATGAGTGACGTGACCTGGCGACAGAGCCGTTTTTTTTTTTAAATTGTGACAGCTAGCGGGTGGAGAAGATGCCCTGCTGTCACAACGAGGGAACAGAGGCCCTGAATATGGATGTAACATGTTATGAAAGGCAAACTTCTCCTTTAATCCATATGAGCTGTCTGTTGTAACAGATGTGTAACAACACGCATATATAATCAATCATTGGTCTAACACAGTTGTTTTAGTAATAAATATATATTTATGATATATATTGTATCCTTGGAGTTACCTTTTGAAATTGTAGAGATTTACTGCAGCAGCTAACTTTGGCCTGTTCATCATTATTTTACATTTTTGTGCCCATACGGTATTAAAACTAGATCATCATCTGTAGAGTTGTGGTTTAAAAATAAGAGTGCTTCTATTTGTAACCCGAAATTGACATTGTCTTTTGTCACAGCTGTTGTTGTTGTTCAAAATGCCACAGTTCTGGATTTGAAAAGAGCTATACAGAGATATCCAGCTAAAACACCAGCGTGAAGGTGGAATACAGCATGTTAGTTGGTAAGATATCTAAATTATTGTGCAAGAAATGTGATGTGCAGTACGTATGATTAACAATTAGTTCAGTACCACAGGTATTACAGGTTGCAAGGCTAGTACAGTTTTGTTTAGCTAAAATTAAGACACTGTTATAAAATGTATTTGCTTAAAGTGTATGATACCCCAGCATTTTATATTTCTGAAATGTGTCTGTGTTATCAAGTACTGGTATGAAAAAGTATCCCCTTCTATTCATGCCTTACTTTGTGTGATATACCTGGCGATCCAGCCAGTCCCCCTGCGTTTCTATTTCAAATTGACCATGGCAGATGGTCTGTCCCTGAGTGGTCAGTTTGCTTCTTTGCAATTCACTTGGGAGCTACAAGATGCTGTGCTATTGTACAGCATCTGTAGCCCCCAGGGTCATATGTCTGCTGACATGTCTTCCTGCACAGCTCTTTACTAAGTAGATCAGTATGTATTGCTCTCCTTCTTCCTCTGCCTGTGGAGCAACATTGATCTCTGTAGTGTTCTGAACCACTGTATTCTAATGAGCTGTGCTTAGGAAGATGGGTGAAAACAGATAACACAAATGAACATCCACTACTGATGCAGTCATAGTGTCTGCAGAAAAACACTTTCAGGTAAGTTTGTTTTAGTGTACATATTTTCCCTTATGTCCCTATATGTATGAACATGCTTTTTTTTTTTTTTGAGAGAGAGAGAAAAAACACATGGTATAAGAACTACTGGGGTTGATTTACTAAAACTGGAGAGTGCAATTCTGCTTAGAAACCAACCAGCTTCCAAGTTTTATTGTCCAAGCTTAATAGAACTAGCTGAGTTAGAAGCTGACTGGGTACCATGTAGAGCTGCACCAGATTTTGCACTCTCCAGTTTTAGTACCAACCCTACTGTATATTACTGTTTCACAGTTTTTTCTGTTTCAGTGCTGCACAACTTGCACTTGCCTTGAGATTCCCATGCTCACCATACTCCTTTTGTGAGTCTCAGACATCTGCAAGGGGAATGAAGATGGAAAATGGGAAGGGATTTTTGAACTACCATTTACTGTCTCTGCATGTGCTGAACTCTCAGAAAGTTGTGTTGTTCAGAGCTGTAAAATCCTTGCAGCAGTGCCAGGTAGTCAGCAAATCGGAGCCTGTGTCCCTGATCTGCACTGGTTTGCGGTAGTGTTAAAACATTTCTATACTTTTTTTTTTAATACTGTTCATAATGACCCTGTAAGTTACTGGACAAATGTACAGTTGTGTTCAAAATAATAGCAGTCAGACATCACTAACCTGATCAATCACTGTTTTTGGTAGAAATGATATTTCTACATGGCAAATAATTTACTAGCAGGTGTAGTACAGTAATAGAAATCCAACAGACCCAACAGTCATGACATGCATGCTGCTGATTCTGTGTAATTGAATCACTAATTGAAAGGGGCATGTTCAAAATAATAGCAGTGTGGAGTTCTATTAGTGAGGTCATTCATTCTTTGAAAAACAGGTGGCAATTATTGCCCTTATTTAAGGAAGGAAGGCAGCAAATGTTGTACATGCTGGTTACAGTGCATTTCTCTCTGAAATTATGAGGAAAATGGGTCGTTCCAGACATTGTTCAGAAGAACAGCGTACCTTGATTAAAAAGTTGATTGGAGAGGGGAAAACATATAAAGAAGTGCAGAAAATGATAGGCTGCTCAGGTAAAATGATCGCAAATGTTTTAAAATGGCAATAAAAACCTGAAAGACGTTGAAGAAAGTGAAAAACTACCATTCGAATGGATAGAAGAATAGCCAAAATGGCAAGGACTCAGCCAACAATCAGCTCCAGGAAGATCAAAGAAGGTCTAAAGTCACCTGTGAGTACTGTTACAATTAGAAGACGCCTATGTGAAGCCAAGCTATCTGCAAGAAGCCCCCGCAAAGTCCCACTGTTGAAAAAAAGACATGTGCTGAAGAGGTTACAATTTGCCAAAGAGCACATTGACTGGCCTAAAGAGAAATGGCGCAACATTTTGTGGACTGATGAAAGTAAGATTGTTCTTTTTGGGTCTAGTGGGCGGAGACAGTTTGACAGACGACCCCCAAACACTGAATTCAAGTCACAGTACACTGTGAAGACAGTGAAGCATGGTTGCGCAAGCATCATGATATGGGGATGTTTCTCATACTACGGTGTTGGGCCTATTTATCGCATACCAGGGATCATGGATCAGTGTGAATACATCAGAATACTTGAAGAGGTCATGCTGCCTTAGGCTGAAGAGGAAATGCCCTTGAAATGGGTGTTCCAACAAGAGGACGACCCCAAACACACCAGTAAACGTGCAACATCTTGGTTCCAGACCAACAAGATTGATGTTATGGAGTGGCCAGCCCAATCCCCGGATCTTAATCCAATAGAAAACTTGTGGAGTGACATCAAAAATGCCGTTTCTGAGGCAAAACCAAGAAATAGAGAAGAACTGTGGAATGTAGTCCAATCATCCTGGGCTGGAATACCTGATCACGGGGGCCAGAAGTTGGTTGACTCCATGCAACACAGATGTACAGCAGTTCTCAGAAACAGTGCTTATACAACTAAATATTAATTAAGTGATTCAAAGGAAAGCAAAATCTTTAAACATTTTTCAATTTATATAGTGAATGTTTGAGTTTGTAAAGAAGAATACAAACACTGCTATTTTTTTGAACAGTCTAATATTAACGTTTCTTCAATTTTTTTAGAGGAACAACGCAAATTTGATATATTTTTCTTCATGTTTTGATTTGGAATAGAATGTGTAGTGTTCCCAATGCATTTGTGTGTATGGAAATAAAAGCTATTAGAAGGATTTTGAGCTTTATTCACTTTTTTCAACACACTGCTATTATTTTGAACACAACTGTATGACTAGACATGCATGTATACCCATCCAGATACCCTGTGTTTTCAGAACTCAGCCCCGGTTCGTACATATGCATTGCGGGAAACACTGCAATCCCTGTGCGTTTCCTGCACTGCATTGCAATGTTTTGTGATCTGCTGTGGGTGTGAATTCAAAGTTAACACCTCAAACGCAGGTCACAAACGCAGTGTTTGCCTGCACTGGATTGCATGGTACAAAACGACTATGTGATCCAGTTCCAGAGCGGCTCAAAAAAGGTGCCTGCACGTTTTTTGTGCCATGCACTGCGATTTGAGCCCATGCAATATGAATGGGCTCAAATTGCACTGCACAGAATGGCATGTAAATTGCACAGGAATAAGGTGTGGTTCCAGCGCGATTCACATACAAGCTATAATATGAACTCAGGCTCAAGCTGAAATTTACACAGACTCTGCTGAGTCTGTTCTGTTCAGGTAGAACTGTATGACTTTTCAATCAGAAAAAGAGAACTGAGGACAGACAGCGTTTTCTGTGTTCTACCTTCTATAATGCTGCTGATATCTGTGTCACAATTACCTTAAAAAAAAAAAAAAAGACCCTTTTTTTTCCTAAATGAGCTGGCATTAAATGCTTAGCAATAAAATTCAGGCATCCTTGTCTTATAAAATCAAGCAATCTGTTGTATGATCTACTACTGGTATATCACAGAATACGTTTGACCTGGCAAAAAAATGCTATATTGCTTTAAGAATATTATGAAGGACAGTAGGGAATCAAGCAATCACAGAGCCAGCTAAGTTGTTCAGCAATAGAGAATACAATTCAGCATAAACAGAAAGGTAACTTTTATTATAAAGACATTAATTAAAATGTAGAGATATCATGTTAATGAATCTAATTAACCACTTGCTAACCGCGCTATAGGCGAATGACGTCCTCCCAGAACGCACCCTCCCGCGCGCCCCTGGCGATCTCTATGATTGCGGTGTCCTATGGACACAGCTGATCACGTGATGTGGTTGAAGTCCAATCACAGCGGCCTTTTACCACGTGATCAGCTGTGTCCAATGACACAGCAGATCACAGGTAAATGCAGTTGCCGGTTATCGGCTGCACTTTCCTCACACTGTCACAGCGTGCCGCCTATCAGTGCATCCTCATCAACACACATCAGTGAAGGAGAAAAATTACCTGTTTGCAAAATTGTATAATAAAAACAGAAAAACTTTTTTGTTCCCAAATTTTTTGCTTTTTTTTTTTTTTTTTTTGTTTATAGTGCAAAAAATAAAAACCCAGTGGAGATTAAATGCCACAAAAAGAAAGCTCTATTTGTGTAAAAAAAATTATAAAACTTTCATATGGGTACAGTGTTGCATGACCACGCAATTGTCATTCAAAGTGCGACAGCTGAAAATTGGCCTGGGCATGAAGGGGGGGTATAAGTGCCCAGTAGGCAAGTGGTTAAATCAGTCTGCTCTGATAAATTAAATAGCAAAAGTAAGGCTTGTACCCCAAAGCCCTCAGTTTCATATACCTGGTCTAGCTCTGTACAATTAGATCTTGGCAGAGCTGACTGTGAAGATGTAACTCATGCATATAGGCCACAGCATTTTCTAGTTGGTTGGGGACTAGCAGGGAATGGAGTAGTGCAGTTTTCTGTGATCTTTCCTTACCTTCATTCTAGTAATCTTTGTATGTAAGTAGCTCAAGGCCAGGCAGACAAACAGCCAGGAGCCTTCTTACCAGTTTAAGCCCAGTATATAACCTCTAAATGCGATATTTCTGGAAGAGACTGAGTGATAGTCTACTTTGAATCGTTTACATGCCAGTGTCATAAAATTCATTTTGAATATACATTCCTTGCCATTGGGCCTATAAGGATCGTTGGTTATAACAAGCTGTAATTAGGTAAGGTGAAGGTTTGAACAAATCTATTATAGACACAGAATATGTTTGTATTAAATTTCATCACTTGTACATAGACCAGGAATGTTAGCTGTTATTTTGCATTTCTGCAACTAATTTATATTATTGCTCTATTGCCATTAATACATTTTCATAATCTGTTTGCTTCTGAATATTTTGGTAAAAAGGAAATATGTATGGAGAACGTACTATTTGTCTTTTGCTGGGGGGAGAAGCTTGATCAGGATGAGAAAAAGCCTTCGTGAGTAAGTCAGTTTTTTTTTTTTTTACTCTTATTATGCTATTAGTAACATGGTGTTGGAGAAGGAACAGCATAACCCTATCAAATGTGAACATTTTTCACGAGTGTGCCCATGAAATAAAGCAAAACCTGTATTTTGAATAGCAAGTTACACAAAACCTGCTTTGCCCGTATTACGGCAAAATGTACTCTTAATTCTTAAAACTTCTATTAACCTAATTATTATGTAAATATGTGTTCATGTATGTGTATTTTACAAATCATAGCCTCTGTCATTCTCATGCACGTCTTCCATCTGAAGTACCTGGTTTATCCTGCCAATCACCTTTTTTCCTCTAAATGAACCACACAAAGTACATAAGCTGATCTTTGTTGGCTTAGTCAGTTTTCATCCTTTGGCTGGCTATTCAGAGTTACACGACACTGTGCATACACACAGCATGCCTGTATTGGGTAGTTTGTTCAGCCACCACACCCCTGACCAATAACAGACTGCCTCTTGAACATGCCCCCTGCTTAAGCGCAGCCTGCTTATTGCCTGAACAGACTATGAAATAAAGGTACAGTTTGTGTCTGCACAGTGTCCTGTAACTGCTATCCCCCACTATCCAGAAGAGATGCATAGTCACATGACAGTGTGTTTTAGCAAGAAAGATGGTTTCTGAAACTAGGCAAAAGCAGTTCTGGTGCCTGTATAGTTATAACTGTATTAGAAAGTGTGCATGTTTACAACTTTAAAACACTTAACAAGAGGTGAAAACAGGCCTTTGAGCACCTTGGGTGTACACTCATGGAAGCCACACTTCAGAATAGTCAGCAAGTGAGTTAGTTGCCGCTCCTGTGCTAGCAGCAGAATGCTGCATAGATCTGCACCAAGTCCTTATGTGGCACTGTTCTCTGCAGCATTCAGGACTCACCCACTGCCAAGGACAGAAGAGGAGGACGAGGATCCATGACATCACCAGCTTAAAGACCCTTGTACTTTAAAAAAAACAAACAAACAAAAATTGGGGTGGGGAGGGAAAGACCTGGAATTGGGGTTTACTAGCAAACAAATGAACACACTTGTCTCTGATTTCTATAAGAAGGTAGCTGTATAATAACATTAATATAAAATGACACATTAAGAAAATATTTCTGAAATTGCTTTTTTTTTTTTTTTTTTTACACAATGCTTTTGTTCACTAATATGTCTGTCTTCTCTTTAAGGTATGGCATTAAAAACAGAGATGAGGTGTGTTTTGTTAAGAGGCTGAGAAATAAATAGCACCTCGGTAGGAGCGAGAAGCGCAATGTTTTAAGGTCTGGTTTTATTTACTCCATTCATGTAGGACGTATTAGAAAAATACAATGACAACCCCAATAATGACCACTAACTCTGATTTTGACATTTGATAGTTCTGTTTAACCCCTTCCCGCCGGCGCCTCCGGCCCTTTAAGAGTTTCAGATGCCGGGAGGCGGGGTGGGTGGGGCGTAGTTTTTAGGGATCATGTGATCGCTGTGACGTCACGGCGGTCACATGATCGGGAAAGGTCCCGATCGAAAGAGTGGACCGGGACCTTTCCGTGAGTACCACACATGTGTGCTGGGAGCGCGAAAGGGCGCGCATTCTCAGCAGATATGTTTTTTGTTACATGAATGCAAATGTGCGGCCGCTCGGCGTCTAGGCCCAGACGCCGGGAGGCCAGTGTAAAGGGGTTAAACAGTACTACAAAACATTGGCCCCCACAGAGTGGAACATTTTAAACTAAAATGTTTTTGATTCATTTTTACACGTACTGGTATGCATTACTGCATAATCACGCATTTTTTTTTTTCTGTGCATACAGTATATTTAATCAAGTGTGCCACTGTGGTTGGATGGTAGTGTAAATTGTAGCTGATCATAGACCATTGAGAGAAGTTACGGAGTAAGAGCTGATCATTAATGACCAAGAGAATAGGCAGCGTGTAAGTTGATCATGGAGCATTGGCAGAGGAAAGGGAAAAAGTGAAAGATAATTATAGACCAATAGGAGAACATGCACAGTAAGAGCTGATCGTAGACCACTAGCAGAAGAAGCAGAGTAGGAGGTGATATGAGACAAGAAGAGAAAACGGAATTTCAGCTGAACATGGACTAGATGGAATTGCAGAGGTAGAGTGGTAACTGGTTGTGGCCTGAGGGGAGAAAAACAGTTGATCAATGGAACATTGGGAATAGCAGAGAAGGCAGCGTAAGAGTGGACCAGAAGAAAAAGGAGGTAAAGCGTTAACAGATCAAGGACAGGGCAAATGAAAGAGGCAGCAGAAATGACATAAATGTGATTGGAGAAAAGATAGTGGGGGAATAGAAGGGGCTAAGCAAGATTACGGACTATGGGGGAGGATGTCCTAGATTGTAAACTCGAAAGAGCAGGGCCCTCAATCCCCTCATGTTTTGCATTGTATTGGTATTGTTCTGTCACATGTTCTGTTCCCCTCTGTAATGTACAGCGCTGAGCGAACTATTGGCGCTTTATAAATACTGTATAATAATAATAATAATGTGTAAATTAGGGCTACGCTTTGATGGGGCAATTAAAGTGAAATTATTTTGACTTGGGGGAGTGAAAAAGGGGAATGCTGAATATGGGGAAGTAAACTACATTTTTGTTCCACAGTACAATTTCTCTAATCTACTCTGCACATAAAGTGGGGAAATGGAGTGCAACTTTTCCAGACTGAAAAACTAAAATAGTTATGTGATATCTTCAGTTTGCGCTTTCCAAGCAAACTTCAAAATGATGATCATGTCTCTTTAGCTCAAACACTAATTTGCAGAGTAGCAAAAGGACCTAGATGTATGGTTTCCTTATAGCAGAGCTAAAGTATTTTTTATGCAAATACTTTGAAATTGCAAGTTGAAAACCGTGCATGCATACTTTGCAAATCTGTTATCTTTGATATTTTCCAGATTTAATTTTATCCATATACCATCTTTTTTAGTTTGTACATCAGCAGTGCTGGGGATGGGGGGGTGTTGGTACCATCTGAAGAAGTGATGTAATTCCCTCACAGGAGGTTCTCTGTAGGTTCAACAGTTTATTTTTCTTGGCTAACTGGGTGTGTAAAAGAGTAGTTCTATCCCCACCCAATCTTTTCTCTCTTATCTAATTAAGCCACATGTTGCTAGTTTAAAAAAAGAAAAAAACATTCAGCTGTCAACAAATGAGAAAGAAGAACACAGGACATGACTTGGAGGAGCCACACTGTTCTGGGCAGTGATGGTCTCTGTCCCCTGGTTAAATATATGAGCATAATGACCTGAAGAGGTAAAGGAAACCTATGAGTTGTAGTCAATAGCTCCTAAAGAATCTCAAGTGTAGCACTGCCTATATAGCAGCTGAAAAGCAACCAGACGTGGTTTTTCCAAAGTGGGCATGCAGTATTTTTTTTTTCTGCGTTAAATTAAGTACAAAATGTTAAGTCCATTTAACACAACTGACAGACCTCACTGACTGCTCTTACAAATACATTACAATATTTTTGTGTACAAAGTCGCAGTAAATATAGATTAGAAATATTTCTGATGTGTTTGAATTTTTATTTTTACAGGTAGTCTAATTCAGTGACGAAAATTACCGGCATGTTTATTTTTGATGCGTCAACGGAGACAGGAATGAACCACTGAAGCATGAAAAGCAAAACATACCAACAGACTGTTACTAATTGGCACTGAATGATGAATAATTTATAGATTAGCTTGTGTGTTTTCGTGTAACTTGTCTTCCATAATACAATTAGTTATTTTTACTCTAAAATGTGTACTTTGTTTTTTTCTAAATCCTTTATAGTGACAATTGTATACATTTCCGGGGCAGAATTCTACACTATTGGGTCTATTTATCAAAAATTCAGTGGGCCAAACACAAAGCGATTCTGCCAAGATTGTGTAAAATATGCCCAGCAGTTTCTGTATTTTTTAATGGGCAGCTGCTGAGAAAATCTTGCAAATTCAAATGCTGTGCAAGTAAATCTCCATTGAATGCCTAAAGTACATTAGGGCATGAATTTTGAGAATAACTAAATTCAGCTTTGTGTGTGCAAACACTCGCTATTTCTGCACCATTGACCTGATTACAGAGTGCTACTGCCTCAGACTTGCCCTATAAAAGAACCTCTGAGGCACATCACACTTCTAGGGTCAGGGGTTGCAGGCAGGGCCCAGATGAAAGGAGCAGTGAGCGAGATCTAGTCAGTATGAGTGTTGCTCAGCTATTCACAGGAAACCTATTTTTATGAATGAATACAAGATTCCTCTGGCTGAGGTGGCAATTGTGACCTCATTTTGCTTCTCCACATCAGCCAATCAGGGAAAGCCTTGTATTCATTCATAAAATACAAAGTGTGTTGTGAATGGCAAAGCAGCACTCAGTCTGACTTTGATTTTGTGCTAGGGATGTCACATACCACTGCCAGAACACAGCTGTACACTGTATGTAGATGATGCTACATACAGTTTATACAGCGCCCACAGTGAGTGAATGTAATAAAAGGAAATAGCTTGTTTGGTACAAAGGAGCTATTTAAAGTTAAATGAAACATAGAGATGGCTTTAAAGGCTAACTCCATCTTTAGCAAAGTGTAACATGTAACTAAGCAACCCGTCACCCCCAGAGGGGCCATCCTCTTTGACAGTGTGTCAGGGTTATTATCCCTCGAGGCAGCTGTCAAATTTGAAAATCCAGCCCCACTCACACAAGCACGTCATTCATTCACGGATCTGTGAATTAACTACACCTTCCTGTCTTTCATGGTGGCAGATGGACTTGTAGTTCTCAGTGGAACACAAGTGTTGTAAGCCGCGCACTCGTAGTCCATTGACACTAACTCCAGCTATCATCAAACTGAAAGCTCGTACAGAGTAGGGACAGAGAGCTGGAGGAAGAGTTTGCAGGAACGTGACATTACACCCATGTTCCACTGATCACAGGCGCAAACGCTTTGCAGATTCCTGTGAAAAGAAATGCAGTTTTTCCCTCCAAGGTGAACTTGGCATTTAAATGTTAGGATGGTCACAGTTGACAATAGCAATGTAGAGATACACCTGATGGGAGGTAATGGCCACCTTACTCACGAGATCCCCCAATGTGATATCGCGAATTGGTTCAAATGGAGAATTTTAACCCCTTGGTGCTGACCACTTCCTGGCCCTTTAAGGGTTCTAAAAGCCAGGAGGCAGAGGTGGACCTTAGGATCATGTGACTACTGTGATTGGCTGTCACAGCGGTCACATGATCAGAAAGCTCCTGATCACAAGTATGTATTGGAAACTTACCGATCACTGCCGGCTACTGTGCTGGGAGCGTATGGCCTACGTCAACAGGTTAAAGAACCAAATGTACCGCATTCAGATCCTAAGGAGACACAGGAGGTCAAAGTGGGGGATTACATAAGCATAAAAGGCTAGCCTGCAGTCCCCTCCCTCAAAACACCCTGGCTTGGTTGGGTCTGTTAGAGGAATGCTGGAGGGTAGACTTCTTGCAGCTGATCATCCATCTGAGTTTGAAGGAATGGAATTGTTCTTTGAATGTTGGAAAACAGGATGGTGGCTGAAGAATCTTTTAGAAGGTTCTCCAGGTACTCCATGACGTGGATGTCTCGAGATCTTAGCTTGGCCAGTACTTTTGTGAAGAGTCTCAATTTGTTGTCCTGCCATTCAGGCTTCCTTCTGCATTTAAAGTGTTGGTCTTTCACAGCAAAGTGCAGAAAGTGTTGGTGTGAAAAGATAAGGCAATTTCTGGCATCCATGGACATCCGAGATGCATATATCTTCATAAACCTGACAGCCCTGAGAAGCGATGACAGATCTTGTGGAATCCATACAGATTTGGGGGCATGCAGATATCGGTTTAAGGATTTTAGGTTCAAAATTAGGCAAATGCTTCCATTCAGTTTTGGAACTGTGAAAAGGTTAGAACAGAACCCTTTGAACCTTTCTTCTGTAGGAACTGGGATTACCACTCTGCGCCTGAGGTTGACTCAGAGGAAAGGAATCAAGGAGAGGGGCAGGGATAGACATTCTATTTTGTAGCCCTGGAAACAGAATGGACACAGTGATCTTGGACATCTCTGATCCAGACTGTCGTAAATTCCAACAAATGTCCCTCCATTACAAAGAGGAGGGGTTCGGGATCCACGAGTGACGTAAAGATGGACCCGTCTTTGATTTGGAGGAGGATCCCTTTCTTTAAAAAGAGGTTGTAATAGGAGGCCCCCCCGACCCCAGGAACATCTTTGATAAA